ATTTCAAACTTATTCTGTTTGACTTAACAGATTTCTTTTTTTTTAATATTTAAGGTTTAATACTTTGGGTTGCAAAGGTATAGGGAGTAATCTAAGGTCTAATACTTTGGGTTGCAAAGGTATAGGGCGTAATCTAAGGTCTAATACTTTGGGTTGCAAAGGTATTGGGAGTAATCTAAGGTCTAATACTTTGGGTTGCAAAGGTATAGGGAGTGATCTAAGGTCTAATACTTTGGGTTGCAAAGGTATAGGGAGTAATCTAAGGTCTAATACTTCGGGTTGCAAAGGTATAGGGAGTAGAAAAGACTCAATTACTTTCTTATACATCGTAGAATTGTAAATAGTAAATACATAACTAACAATAAAGGAACAATTGTTCACAGTGCACTTCCATTGTTGTCTCTATTTCATGCTTTCTGACTCTTATTAATAAAAGAAAATATTTTGTTCTTCAAAACCAGCAAAGATGGATGTCTCTGTAATGATAAAGGTTTCAATTATTTTCAGGATTTTTATTCGTGACAAAAAAACATTGAACGATACAAAGTGTACTGGCTTGTTTTTTATAAATATAATGATTAATTAAAATATACCTTCATACTCCATCTTCAAATAAATATAACTTACGTTTATTTATATCAAACTTTTTTTAAATACTTCTGTTAATGTCAACATTCAACATTTCTGCTTTTTATACCGATATATTAAATACAGGGTGTTCCGATAAACAGGGGAATTGAGCGTCGATTTTTATATCGTCTTCGTAAATGATTTTTTAATTTAGTATGGTGATGCCTACATCAGAAAGATGCGATCCGTAGATATATCGTCTGCTAGAGTTAAAGATTTGTTTGTCTATATTTTGATTGCATACACATGTAGCACTAAGTAAATTCACGTAAATTAACACAGTACAGTTGTTCCATGAACAAAGCCGATTTCGTATTCGTCGTTTAATTCACAAGTTTATTGGGACACCCTGTATCTCATGAGTATTGAAGTAAACGGTTTTATTGTAAACAGTTGAGATATAGATTTTTTAACCTTTACTAATGTAAAAAAATTCTTGCCAAGAATTTGTTTTACTTCACAAAAATCATTTATTATAATTTGCGGTTCATATTTGTGCAACAAACAGGGATTTGCAAAGTAAACACTGTACATAATACAGATTAGAAGGAAAAATGGAACGGTACGGTGGATTATCCTCTTCTTGTGAGATTCTGGTCAAGAATGCATTTTAAACTCCTGTTCAATTATAGTGCCGTCCCGACCAGGGCAACCACGGCAATTTTTACAGTGAGTGTACAATGTACATGTAGTCTAATGAAGACAAAGCGGGACGGTACACCGAATGATTTATCCAGTGAGATTTAGTCAGTGAGTTTCTAGTTTCTCCAGTCTTAGTCTGAAACTCTAGTCAGGGCACTGTGCACTGTGCACTGCCAACTTTGGTTCATTTGTTTCACATTCAACCTTCAGACAACTGGAGCAAATTGTTGCAACTACACACAGTACACTAAATGAATCATCCCTTCTACTGTTAGGTCCGGTTTATTTCACGAACCGGACTAAACTATGAAGTACTGCAGTACAGTACACATGCAGATTAAACCAGACAAAACAGGACGGTACACCAAATGAACCAGCTCCTTCTAGGGAAATTCTAGTGCTTCTATATCTAGTCCAGCATTTGAATTTTGTCTTTGTCTCCATCTCATTTTCTATGCACATCGAGCCGTAAAGTGCATTCACTGTGATGCGTCTGCAGAACAATAAACAGAGAAATGTCCTGTGTACAATGTGTATTGGAAAACCTACGGTAATGTAATCATTATGAAAATGTACAGACAGAGCAGTCCATGCAACACAAATTCTATCCCTGGAATCCGGGATTTGCAGGAGCAAAGAAAATACGCGGCAACCGTGAGCAGAGTTTTCACATTCTCCTGTAGAAAGGTGGAGAAACAACCATCTTCTGCAAATATGATTAAACCAAATACGTAGCAGAGAAGTCCAGCTCCGATAAAATCAAACATTGTTCTGTCTTTTGTAGGATATCTCTCACTGTTATTGATCCAAAGGTAAAAACTGAGGTTTTTCCAAAAAAGAGGATCCAAGGGAGAATGTAAATTTCAAAAAACCAAAAATCTACACTTGCTGAACGATCCTGTAAATTTCTAACATTTTGCTATCAATGGAATTTAAAAATTCAAGTTTGAATCTCCATGAAAAATATCATTTTATTTATATTTTACCCCCTGTTGCTTGGCAACCCATCTGTGTATATTTGTGTACACAGATGTATATTTTAATCTCTCGGCATAGAGAAGAGAAAGCCATGTTGCCTCTTATTTATACAAAAATATGACATTAATATTTAATGGGATTGTTCACCATTCTGAATTTTTTTTTTGAATTTTTGAGAAAGTTAATTTCACCGATAATAAAGTTCTAGAAGGCCAAAATGATCGATATTTTCTTTTAGATAAACGTGGGGTTTTTGTCCAAAATATCAAAAATTCGGAGATTTTATGAAAAAAATTTCGCGCGTTATAAATATAATTTTTGGTTTACTTTTTTGTGAAATGCACATGCATGCACATGCTAAAAAACAGTGTTAACGAGTTATTTGTATCCTTGTTTATTAGAAAAAAGTTTCAAGGGAATCTGCGTAAATTAAATAAACAACTCTAAAAGTAAATCGTAATAGCCTTTAGTTTTACCTCACCAACTCTCTTATACATTGTGTATCCCTAGACATATACATTTCAAAACTGCTCCGCGCTTGTTTCTATTGTACGGTGGCCGTTGAATGGAATTCTTACATAATTGTTAAATTGTTAAAATTTAAAAACATATAAAATCAACTTTAATGGTTAAAATACACTCTCAGAATTCAAAATTTAATGAGCCACTTCTGGAAATAAAAAATCAACTTCAAATGGTTAAAAACACTTGAAAAAAAATCAAAAGTTAAAATTCATCATTTTAAATTCAAAAACCCACTTCTGGAAATATGAAATCAACTCCATAGTATAGTATGGTTAAAATAAATTAACGATACAATCTTGGAATTAAAAAAAAAAAAAACTTCAAATGGTAGAAATACAATTTTAGAATTAAAAATTCAAAAAGTGATCAGAAGTAAATCACAAGCTAATTACGATACATTCAACAATTGAGAAAATAAATTGCAGTTGTGACCAATTCTCACAGATTATTATAAAAATCTTCAAGTCTATCCATGGTTGTTCAATAAGAATAATTTTGTCTTCGGTCCAAAAAATAAAGATATATCTTCTTATACTTGGTGCATCGCATCTCTTTATTTTAATGCGGTACAGGCCTATATACAGGCCTATATACAGGCCTATATACAGGCCTATATAGCTGTTTTTAACCGCTGTTTTTCAAAATCAGAGGACTTAAAAAATTTTCATTGACACTTTATGTTCTTTTTCTGTAATTTTTAAATCCAAGTTAAGATTCTTTTAATTAATGTGATAAAATCTCTATTCAAAGAACTTCTGAAATAAAGAATTGGCATGAGATGACAAATGCATTAAAATGGCAAAATTTAAGACTTTTCAAATTTTCTAAACCAAATATTAAAACTATATGTTCATTTTTATTAAGTCAATTATCAACATTTAAAATATATTCTATCAAGTGGGTTTTCAACATCTAAAGGGTTGTAAGCGTAATTTCACCCTCCATGCAAAGATATGATAATTCTCGATTCACAAAAGTACCCTAATAAGGAGCTTTGGCTGATGATGAATGAATTAGATATCAATGTTCTAATTTTAAAAAAACTGATTATTTTGAATTGTGGGTTCTCTACTAAAGTTACTTGTTCATATCTACTGCAGGAAAACATGAAGGATTTATCAAAATTAATCTTTGAAAACCAACTATATCTTCCACATCATTGATCAGATAAAGATTGCAAGGGTACCGTTGTGAATCTGTCATTGCCATCTTTGCATAGAGGGTCACGTAAATTAAGTTTACAGCTTTTTAAGTGAGACTAAAAAAAGAAAACCTCATACAGTGATAACCAGAATACTCTGGAATAGTAAGACGACTTTTAGACTCAATTTATGAATTTAAATAGTCCAATTTGCAGGGGAAACGGCAATTTTGCAGTGTAAACAGACACATTTCACTTAATTAGCGATTTAATAAGTGGCTAGTATAACTATTTGCTTTGTAACAATATCAAATACACTGTAGTATTGCTATAAAGTCGTCTTACTATTTCAGAGTTTTCTGGTTCTCACTAAACAATGTTTACAAAGCATCTAGAAATCAGCTTTTTTTTTAAATTAGTGAACTTTTTGAAATATTAGCATTTATTATTCCTAGATAGGAATAGGACAGATATTTTTGAACTGACTGCTAACTTATGATGCACAAATATCATGGAGAGAAAAATTCACAATTCACAATTGTATTAAATCTTAAACTAAGCACCAATAAAGAAGGAATTTGGTCAGTTTTTTACCTTGAAAAGTTTGAATTCCGTAAATGACGTTTTGCTGCGTAAAATATCTTTAAACTCATATCTAGACAAAAGTTTAAAGAGTACCTTTATACATCCCACTCACTTAAATTCACGTTTACAGTCCCTTTAAAGATTTGAGGGTGGTCGTGTTGGGGACCTGTTCCTTTGATAAATTCAGGGTGGTCGTGTTGAGACCTGTTCCTTTAATGATTTTTGGGTGGTCGTGTTGGGGACTTGTTCATTTAAAGATTTGAGGGTGGTCGTGTTGGGGACCTGTTCCTTTAAAGATTTGAGGGCGGTCGTGTTGGGGACCTGTTTCTTTAAAGATTTGAGGGTGGTCGTGTTGGGGACCTGCCCCTTTGATAAATTCAGGGTGGTCGTGTTGAGACCTGTTCCTTTAATGATTTTTGGGTGGTCGGTTGGGACCTGTTCCTTTAATAAGTTGAGGGTGGTCGTGTTGGGACCTGTGCTCAATATCCTTGGTTTGAGTCACCAATCCAGTTGAGTATCTGTCATCCTGATATAACCTTCTATATTTAGTTTACTGAGTAGTTTATCATAGCATACAATATGCAGATACGCGTAGTCATAACCATATTAATTCAGGTAGGATATATACAAAGTTTAGATTTTAATTCATAAAATAAATGTTTTTCCTGGCTAAAAGTTCATAATGGTTGATTCTTATAATTCTTATAAAAATCCCAAAAACTTAAAAGAGACTGATCTTTCATTTAAAAAGTCGCATTGCCCGATTGAACAATTTTGTTAAAGGGAGTGACCGGCTATGTAAGGTAGTTGAACTGAGTATGCAGTGTTGTGGAAAACTTCTTTCGGATTCATTTGAGACATATTAAACTTTTTAAAGATCTTTAAATCCTGAGTTTGAGCGCAAATTTGACGTTCAAAACTCCTACTTTGGGGGTGGATATGTTTTCAGAATTAGTTTTTTTTAACTCTATATATATATACTGCATGAAGTATGGTCGTAAATTCTTTAAAAAGTGGAACGGTTCTATTCTATAAATAATAGGGTTACTTAACAGTATATCGTGAACTTACAACCTTGAAACATAAAAAATGTTAATCATTTTACACAGTACACTGTAAACTCCGGTTCGTTTTAACAACCGGGCTGACTTTTACCAGCAAGAGCAAGCAGTACAGTACATACAAGGCAAACCAGGACGGTACGCCAAATGAATTCATTTTCTTCCAGGGAGATCATTCTAGTGGTTAAGGCGGATTTTGGCAGGCGGAAATACTTTTGGATAATAGCTAAAAGGGTCTTTGTTGTGAGGCGTGTATTTTAGATTTACTTAGAGTTGGGTCAACATCCCCTTTAAGTTATGGACTATAGGTCACATTTGTGGCAAATGATAAGAATTGTTCCACATTATATATATATATATAAATTGTATACTGAGTTTCTGGAAAGAGAAAAACATAATTTATATCAAATCCTTTCTAACATAACTTTTTATCCGAAAACAATTTATTGTTGGTGAGAAAATAAACATAAATGAGAAACCAAGACTATAAGATTATAGGAAATTAACACTCACAACCAATTTAAATTTTCTATTTACTTTATCTTTGCAACCTGATGTTGTTAATCTCTTATATTTCGATGAATTCCGAATAGATCATCTTTATATATACTTTGGTTGTCTGTCTATCTGAGTGTTTGTTTGTTTTTCTGTCCGATTATATCCAACGTCTGAACTGATCGGGCCCAAATTTTGTGTGGGACCTCACTTGACCCCAAGGAACGATTATGGAACATCAAATTTGGTAAAAAATATAGTTTGAGTTTTCACCATCAGAGGCCAAATTTAATGAAAAGTTAAACTTATTAGACTAAGATAAACTGCTTTTCTTAAACTTAAACCAGTCCACACTAGAACTGGTTCAACTAAATCTACGTTAAATCTGGTCCCATGTTGCAAATATATAAGAATTGGAAAATTTACGTTTGTTAAGATTGTTTAGTTTCTTTAAGTTGTGCATCTTGTACCAATCTTTTTTAAAGCGCCCTTGGGTTCGTTGTAAGTTGTAAATTGTAAACTGGAAATTGTACGTTGTTTGTAAACTGTAAACTGTAAATTGTAAATTGTATATATAACTTGTATATATTAGAAATGTGTATTAATTCTAATTAAGTACAAAAATAACTCGAAAATGTTGATTATCATGAATTTCTGATAAAAATGATTTAAATGGTCACAATATAATTAAAAAAATAACATGAATCTTGTTCAGACGTCGCAAGTAACGAGTCACTACTCAGTAATCTATTAATGGCTTTCAAGTGATACTTTAAAACTCGTCAATTATTGCCTACAGGCGTCTCAATACAATGAAGAAGAAAAACGATTTAAATTTTTTATTTCTATTAAGCTTTCAAACACCATGGATACACATTAAGGTTTCCAATTGGAATGCTATTGAATGGAATTGCGCGCAACTGTTCTCGAATTGCGCACAATTGCACCGAAATTCCAGGGCCTGTAATTGCGCGCAAGTAAAATCCAATTGCGTAGGAAACCCTAATACACATGGAAACAAAGAGACAAACAGCCTCTCTTGTATACAATTTTTAATTTAAAAAACATCCAATTTTTCTTCTAGTTTCTGTTGTTTAGTCGTCTCTGATCTCCACCCTGCCACAGAGTTCTAACGTCTGTTCTCCGAACCCATGTGGAGCTGGAGCTGATTGCGTGATACAGGGAGAATACTATTTTCAAAGATTTTTGCAAGCATGTATTAAAGTGAAACTCCATGCAAAGATAGCAATATTTTACAACGGAAACCTTTAAACTTTTAATTGTTTATCGAGGACAGAGAGCTCCGTGTGTTTATCTCCTAAATAACCTCAACACAGCTGATCTTACCGAATATTTAATGTCAAAAGCGTTTTTAAAAATTCTGAAGTATTTATTTTCCTTTGACAATTGGTCATGTATCTTGAAATTATGTCTAAAACGTCCCTTCAAAAAGAAAAATACGAGTGCAAAAATTGGAAAGACGTAAAAAACAAAGTCTTTATTATTAAAATTAAAACAAGAAAACAAGCAAATTATTTGGTTTGATCCTTTAAGAACTGCTAACCCACACTTCTTAGATCTGTCATCCACCCCTCAAACCTACATACCTTATATCTGCTAACCCAACCTTTCATATTCCTAGAAATTTGCTACCCCACCCTCAACCTGCCTATATTTGCTAACCCACCCTCCACTTGCCATGATCTGCTACCACATGCTTCATCTGCTAATATCTGCTACCTCACCCTCCATCTTCCTAGATCTGCTAACCTATCCTCCATCTGCCTATATCTGTTACTACTAATTGTTCTCTAAGTACAGGGCGGAAACAGAGTCCTGTGTAACTGTCCTGATGGTTGGATAGGTAACAATTTAAATGCAATACTATATAATTAAGCTCTTCGCTCATAAATATGTGTATATATGTCAAACGGCTGGACCAAATTTTTCGAAGAAACTCATGGGTATCTCGAGAGATCAAATCGGGCTAAAAAAATCGGGTTTTTGTTTTGTTTCAAAAATCAAACTTTTTTTTAAATATATTTTTTTCAACATTGAACTTTTCTTAAAATTCGATTGTTCATAATTCCACGGGCAACGCAGGGTACTTAAGCCAGTTCATAATAAATGGAATTTATTAACAATCGAGAAATCTTGAAAATCGTCTTTGATCTGAAGCAGTTTGCGGCATTCATTGGTAACCAAATTTTAGAAATATTTTTCTTGAAACAATATTCAAAATATAAACCTAGTCTCGCCATTTTCAAACTTTTTGCATGAAAATGGCGAGAGAGATTTAGAATTTATGGAGTTTAACCTAAAAAATTTAACATTATTGTAATTAGATTAATTTTAAATATTGCTATAATGTAGAATAAATATTCAACAGTTTTCTTGTGCTCACTGTAGTGTATACTGTATATAGCCAATAGCCTATGATTAAGCTCATCACGGTGGACTAAGGTCCATTTGAATATGAACCGGACCGAACCCTTGCACCTGGTCTTAGAGACGTCCGGCAAGTACTGCCCCGCCCATATCCTATGTCGGCCTGGTTTCAACTTTGATGGGGCAGCCAGTCTATCATTGGCCTATTTTACCAACCCCACTAGCTTTGGTGTGTTTATTAGTTTGGTGTGTTTATGGTCCAAATTCTCAAAACAAGGTGTGCAGGAGATCCAACCGTCAGCTGTCAACCTGAATGTTTAAAGCTGTCAGACTGCCCATTCGAGAAGCAATGCCAGGTAGGAAGTTATTTTTAGCTTTTAATAAAATGTACACGTGTAATATTAAGGGAGCATTTAGACAGTTGCTGCCCCGATTTACACCGTTACCCTTTTAACAAACAATTTTTAAAAGTGTGGAATTCTGACAATTTCCACGATTGTTCATGAAACATCAAACTGTTATGAGAATCCACAATTTTCAGATAGAAAAAAAGGATATCATATTCTTTCTATAACAGAAAAAAAGATTAAAGAGTTCTGTTTGGATCCAGGCAATCTATAAATGCAGTGTTACTTGAATGAAAAGGAGTTTTTGTCGCAAACTCAAAATTTCTGATTTGATATTTTAAACTGTTATTATTAGATTTAACAGAATTCATAGTTTAAAATAACAAAGGTCTGTACAGCATTGGGTTGCAAATATATAAGGATTAAAAACTCCGAGTTTGTTGGCAGAACTGAGGTCCGTTTTACAAAATTGTTTTGATGAATTTATCTATAACATGCTACTTTTTAAACCCAAAAATAGCCATGATGTTTAAAAACGAAAAAAAACATTACCAATTTCTTAGGCTAGTTTAACTTTATTTTTGTACAGAAAATATAAATAAATATTAAAAAGAATTGGAGAAATAGAATTTTTTCTTAGAATTGACACATTTACAATTCTAAAGATTTCCCAGCCATGAATTATTTATTTTACTTTTCCTATGCTTTACAAATAACAAGTATTTTTTATATTTTTTCATATTTTTTTATACAGTTTATGCTTTGCAAAGGTGAAAATCTATATCATCCTCATTAAAAAGTTGAAATACCTTAATGTTCCAAATATTTGTCAAATCCCAAAAGTTTTTAAAGGAATTGGGAATTTGTTCCAAACTCCAATTTCCAAACCTTACATTGTTGCTCCTGATGGTAAAAAAATTTAACATTTCAAACTCAGATTATTTGATCTAACATATTTTATATTTTGAAGTATATAATGACTACCGCATTGAATTGCAAAGATATAGGGATTAGAAAATCAGAGGTTTTGGCAAAGACTCAATTCCTTTGAAAATAAAAGAAGTTGCAAAATGAAACTTTTAAAATTTGCGTCTTTTTCCCGGTTCCAAGATTTACAGTGTACAAAAAAATCTAATTTTTTGAGATAGTCAAAATGAACATTTTCTCTTCATGTGTTTGTAAAGGAAATCCGTTGTGTTGACCCATGTTTTGTAAAGGGAACCCGTTGTGTTGATCCATGTTTTGTAAAGGGAACCTAGTGTGTTAATCCATGTTATGTAAAGGGAACCCGTTGTGTTTATCTATGTTTTGTAAAGGGAACCCGGTGTGTTGAGCCATGTTTTATAAAGGAACCAGGTGTGTTAACCCATGCTTTGTTATGGGAACCTGCTGTGTTGATCTATGTTTTGTAAAGGAAACCCGTTGTGTTAATCAATGTTGTGAAAAGGAAACCTGTTCTGTTGATCCATGTTTTGTAAAGGAAACCCAGTGTGTTGATCCATGTTTTGAAAAGGTAACGTGGTGTGTTAACCCATGTTTTGTTATGGGAACATGCTGTGTTGATCCATGTTTTGTAAAGGGAATCTGCTGTGTTAATCCATGTTTTGTAAAGAAAACCCGTTGTATTGATCCATTTTTTGTAAAGGAAACCCGGTGTGTTGACCCATGTTTTGTTATGGGAACCTGCTGTGTTGATCTATGTTTTGTAAAGGGAACCCGGTGTGTTGACCCATGTTTTGTTATGGAAACCTGCTGTGTTGATCTATGTTTTGTAAAGGGAACCCGGTGTGTTGACCCATGTTTTGTAAAGGGAACCCAGTGTGTTGAGCCATGTTTTATAAAAGAACCTGGTGTGTTAACCCATGTTTTGTTATGGGAACATGCTGTGTAAATCTATGTTTTGTAAAGGAAACCCGTTGTGTTGATTCATGTTTTGTAAAGGGAACCCGATGTGTTGACCCATGTTTTGTAAAGGGAACCTATTGTATGGATCCATGTTTTGTAAAGGGAACCCGGTGTGTTGACCCATGTTTTGTAATGGAAACCCGTTCTGTTGATCCATGTTTTGTAAAGGGAACCTGCTGTGTTAACCCATGTTTTGTAAAGGGAACCTGCTGTGTTGATCCATGTTTTGTAAAGGGAACGTGGTGTGTTAACCCATGTTTTGTTATGGGAACCTGCTGTGTTGATTTATGTTTTGTAAAGGAAACCCGTTGTGTTAATCCATGTTGTGAAAAGGAAACCTGTTATGTTGATCCATGTTTTGTAAAGGAAACCCAGTGTGTTGAGCCATGTTTTGTAAAGGAAACCCGATGTGTTGATCCATGTTTTGAAAAGGGAACCTGGTGTGTTAACCCATGTTTTTTATGGGAACATGCTGTGTTGATCCATGTTTTTTATGGGAACATGCTGTGTTGATCCATGTTTTGTAAAGGGAACGTGGTGTGTTAATCCATGTTTTGTAAAGGGAATCTGCTGTGTTAATCCATGTTTTGTAAAGGAAACCCGTTGTATTGATCCATGTTTTGTAAAGGAAACCCATTGTGTTGATCTATGTTTTGTAAAGGAAACCTGCTGTGTTGATCTTTGTTTTGTAAAGGGATCCTGTTGTATTGATCCATGTTTTGTAAAGAAAACCCGTTGTGTTGATCCATGTTTTGTAAAGGGAACCTGTTGTATTGATCCATGTTTTGTAAAGGAAACCCGTTGTGTTGATCCACGTTTTGTAAAGGAAACCTGTTGTGTTGATCTATGTTTTGTAAAGAAAACCCGTTGTGTTGATCCAAGTTTTGTTAAGGGACCATGTTGTATTGATCCATGTTTTGTAAAGGGACCCTGTTGTGTTGATCCATGTTTTGTAAAGGGACCCTGTTGTGTTGATCCATATTTTATAAAGGGAACCTGTTGTGTTGACCATGTTTTGTAAAGGGAACCCGTTGTGTTGACCCATTGTTTTGTAAAGGGAACCCATTGTGTTGATCCATGTTTTGTAAAGGGAACCCGTTGTGTTGATCCATGTTTTGTAAAGGTAACCCCGTGTGTTGAGCCATGTTTTATAAAGGGAACCTGCTGTGTTGACCCATGTTTTGTAAAGGGAACCTGGTGTGTTGACCCATATTTTGTAAAGGGAACCTAGTGTGTTGATCCATGTTTTGTAAAGGGAACCCAAAGTGTTGATCCATGTTTTGTAAAGGGAACCCAATGTGTTGATCCATGTTTTGTAAAGGAAACCTGCTGTATTGGTCCATGTTTTGTAAAGGGACTCTGTTGTGTTGATCTATGTTTTGTAAAGGGAGCCTGTTGTATTGATCCATGTTTTGTAAAGGAAGACTGTTGTATTGATCCATGTTTTGTAAAGGGACTCTGTTGTGTTGACCATGTTTTGTAAAGGGAACCCGTTGTGTTGACCCATGTTTTGTAAAGGGAACCCATTGTGTTGATCCATGTTTTTAAAGGGAACCCAATGTGTTGACCCATGTTTTGTAAAGGGAACCTGGTGTGTTGACCCATGTTTTATAAAGGGAACCAGGTGTGTTGACCCATGTTTTGTAAAGGGAACCCGGTGTGTTGATCTATGTTTTGTAAAGGGAACCCGGTGTGTTGACCCATGCTTTGTAAAGGGAACCTGGTGTGTTGAGCCATATTTTGTAAAGGGAACCTAGTGTGTTGATCAATGTTTTTTAAAGGGAACCCAATTGTTTGACCCATGTTTTGTAAAGGGAACCCAATGTGTTGATCCATGTTTTGTAAAGGGAACCCGGTGTATTGATCCATGTTTTGTAAAGGGAACCCGGTGTGTTGACCTATGTTTTGTAAAGGGAACCCGGTGTGTTGACCCATGTTTTGTAAAGGGAACCCGGTGTGTTGACCCATGTACAAACAATGTTGAGACCGGAAGACCCCCCTGCGGTGTAGAAGCTATTTGCGAACGTGTCAGGCACACATGAATATATATTTAACAACTTTTTTCATTTCTTTGTCTATGAAATATTTGTTCTTTGCAGAAGTTGGCTTGTTTCACTTAATTTTATTTCCTCCGGGTTATTTGATTTAAAGTATTTTTTAAAACTTATATTCTTTGCTAAAATATATATTTTCATTCTTCATCTGTGATAGGCATAAAGCAATTTGTTCCTGCCCTAAAACTCATACAGGAATATGATTGATAATTTCTTTTTAAAGTTTTAAATTTCTCAATTTCTTATTTCAAGAAAAATATATAAATATATGCTTGTAAATACATTAATGAAATCTTAAACAAATACAAAGTATGTATGATCTAATATTAAATGTTCATTGAATTAAATTTTTCTAGGAATAAATGACATTTCTTTGTAAAATTGTAAATAGCTTGTTTAAATATTAACAAGATGCAATAGAAATTGTTGCATACTTAAAAACAGCTTTTTATATACGATTGTTTATATTACTTGACTTATACAAATTCTAAAAATAATATTTTGTAACTCAAAATTAATCCAATATGGCCGCCACTAATCAATCCTAACTCAATCTGAAGGAAATCCATTTGAAAGTTGTCGTCGGTTCACCACAGCTGATTTATGTTCTCCAAATCCTTGCGGTGTCAACGCCTTCTGTGAAGCAGGGAATCCATTATTCATTCCGAAGAGTAAATAAACATGGAGGGTTAATTTACCCAGCAATATCATGTGATTGTACTGCGCTGCAGGGTTACATAGATTTAGCCTGCTATGATTTTATCGCACAAACTCACTTATGCAATTTTGTAGCCGTAAACATAAACATATCAAACTTGTTTTTTGAAAAAATTGGAGAAGTTTTTATTTATTTTTGCGTAAGAGCGACATTTTTGGCAACAACAGTCATATGATAAGGCGGACTGGGTCATTTATCCTTCCATTTATATCTACTCCATGATTCATTCTCAATTAGCACTTCATAGATACCTACTACAGATACCTTAATGTAATTAGATCTTGGAATATGTAACAATAATATCGAGTTAATTCATTTTAGCAAAATTACAGAGTTAAATTCAAATATTAAAAAAATGTTCTAAATTACAGATGGTGTCACCTTTTCTAAAAATAATAGTCCACAATCACTTTGATTTTTAGTTTTTTTTTTAAATAATTGAAAGCTTATTAGTACATGCAGCCCACCTTTCCAGCATACTAGAACTTCTGAAGTGCGCGGAATGATATCTTGCTTTTAACATTTCATTTAAATAACCTTTATATCATGTAGAATTCATGAATAATGAATAAAATTGAATAGGTTTTGATAAAATAACTGGGGAGGACAGGCCTGTTTGTCTATGTAATGAGGGTTACACAGGTTAGTCCAGTCATAATTTGAAGCACGGGCAGCCGTAGAACATTTTAATTTCCGGTCATAACTTGAAGGGGTAAAAATGAATAATGTACCTGGTGACCCCCACAGCATGAGACTTCAGAGATGCCTGTACTGAATTTATTTTCATTTAGTTTATTATTCCCTGCAACTGTAATTTTTTTCTTTCTTTGCTAAATAACTTTCAGCCATAAAAAGATTTTATTGAAAGCAAGGTTTTAATGCAAGGAAAGTTATTTCAGAGGTGTACGCATCTTTTGTACTGCAGTGTACTGTCTCTGGGCGGTAATGTAAACACAAGACAGATGTTACAGCCTGACATAGGATTCATTTTTCATATGAAAAATCAATGAAATATTCTGGTCATAGGAAACTATTATGTGAATTATCAAGATTTTCAAAATTAAATGCATTTAACATCCTCGGATACTAAACAAACACTGATGCATCTATTCTTGTTTACAAATTCCGCCCATAGAGAACTGGTTTCAATATTTAAGCACACGGAACCCCAATTAACTTTCCTTGCATTATGTAACCTTTATTTAAGGTAAGTATCAAGACTGAATTTACCATTGGTATCGTCATATTTAAGAGCCTTAGGTCGTCTTTACAGTCTCAGCTGTTTGTGGGCAACCCTTTATGGTATTGTGAGGTATTAGGACTGTGATGTACTGGTTTGATCAAAAACAAGAACTAAGATTATAAACTCAGCTCTAAATTATCCATGAAAATTAGGGCTGGGCAACGTTAACAAACGATATGCAAAATTATCTTTTATGTTCAGGGAATGGAGTGACTGGATGTGTCCATGGTGAATGCGTATCTTTACAACACAATCAATGATGTTTTATGTTCAGAGAATGGAGTGACTGGATGTGTCCGGGGAGAATGCGTATCTTTACAACACAATCAATGATGTTTTATGTTCAGGGAATGGAGTGACTGGATGTGTCCAAGGAGAATGCGCATCTTTACAACACAATCAATGATATTTTATGTTCAGGGAATGGAGTGAATGGAAGTGTCCGAGGAGAATGCGTATCTTTACAACACAATCAATGATGTTTTATGTTCAGGGAATGGAGTGACTGGATGTGTCCGAGGAGAATGCGTATCTTTACAACACAATCAATGATGTTTTATGTTCAGGGAATGGAGTGACTGGATGTGTCCGAGGAGAATGCGCATCTTTACAACACAATCAATGATGTTTTATGTTCAGGGAATGGAGTGACTGGATGTGTCCGTGGTGAATGCGTATCTTTACAACACAATCAATGTCCAGATGATAAAGCTTGTTATGATTCAACTTGCATAGGTATAATAACAATCAAACTTTAAATAGATTTGACAAACATGGTATTCAGTATTCACAGATGACTAAACAGATTTTATTCTTTCTCAAAGTCATGCTTGTTGCTACTGTAATCTTATCATTTTTCATTGACACATAATTTAAAAACATTATAGGATAATACAGAGTGTCTCACAGTTCCGTCCTTATCCTCAATTCAATGAGATCGATCTTTCAGTAAAAAACGATCCTTTTTTTCAAAAGTTTTTTTTTTATTTTTCGTACATTTAAAAACAATAAGTTTTCATTTCTTTAAACGATCTCAGTTATTCGTCCATTGTTCTTTTTTCTAAATGACATCATTATTCACGGAAATTTCGTTTGTTCTCACAAATTTCCTTCGTTTACAAAAACTATCTCTAAAGATCCTTGTGGACCAACATTCTGCGGAGGAAATCCCTGTTGTGCATCAAATGCAAATTGTCGTGGAGTGGATCATAAAGCTGAATGCTCCTGTCCTCCAGGTAAGCTGCGGGATAATTATAAATTGGCATGTTTCCATAAATTACCAAATTTTTGTCCATCCTAAAAAGTTGGTTTTGAAAATTAAGTGAATTCAATGCTTTATCTATTAAGCACATTATGACTACATAACATTTGTAAAATAATCAATTTATTCATACAATTGAATAAAGCAAATTGAATTAATATATCCTAACTTTAGTCTAATTTTACTTCTTTTTACTTTGCAAAAAAAAACTATTTTTTAAAGGAATGGAAGGAGATGCCAGATATGAATGCAGAATATCATCTGGATCCAACAGAAATGTAGGTTTTGGTAAGTAAAAAGGGCAACTAATGATTTATAATCAAAACTATAAAGTCTAAAATATTTGTTTATGAGGTTCAAGTGGATCTATCTGTGAGCCAAATCCCTGTGGAAATGATGCAGTGTGTACACCAGGCTCTGACAATACTGGAAGATCTCGACCTGTTTGTACATGCCCGTAAGTTTTTATTAAGACGCTTTTTCCACATTAAATCTTTTGAACCAAAAGGCCAATATCAAGTTAGCATTGAAATTAAGAAAGAGAGTATGTAAAATACTACAGAAAAGCCATGAGAACCTTATGATCTGACCAAAATTTAGAAACATTTTTATAGATAGTTTAAACAGTAAGCATAATTTAAAGTGACCCTCCATGAAAGTCCATGATGGCCATGACCTATTCACAATGGTAACCTTAATACCATTATCTGACCAAAATAAAACAGCTATAGAGGCTTCCATAGTTTATTTTTTGTATTATCTAAAAAACTATATTTAAAACGTATAAACTGGAGGTTCAATGTTGGTTAACCTTTGATGGGTTTCTTATTGGATTAACTTTCTATATCTCACCTCCTGCAGCTTAAATATTTATTTTCCAACAATTTATTTTCCGTAACTAAACTCATGTATCCAATCTTAAATCTATTTATAAATGTGGCTTGTTGCATCCAATAAACGTCAAAACGGCTGAACCGATTGGGCCCAAATTTGTTGTGGCAACTCACATAACCCAAGAAAAGATTTATAGAAGATTAAAAGTAAAAATTTTACCTGGAAAAAACTGCGTAAAAGTGACAAGGGCTTACAATTTTTATATTTTTTAATATTTATTGGATGAAACCTTTCATATTAATTTTTAGTAATAATAGCAAGGTTGTATAATTAAAAGATTGGTTATACTCTCAATGTGCTCCGGTTTACGAAAAATGTCGTCTCCTAAGATAGAGAGATAAAAATCTAATATGACGTCATAAATTAAAGAGGCAAGAATGACGTCATATTAGGTTTGTATTTATCTTAGTAGACAACATTTTCCAGACATTGGAGTAATATCTATTTGAATCCCTCCAGTGGAATTATAAACCCCTGGAAAGATATCTGAATCCCTCCAGTGGAATTATAAACCCCCGGTAAGGATATCTGAATCCCTCCAGTGGTATTATCTACACCCTGGAAAGATATCTGAATCCCTCCAGTGAATTTGTAAACCCTCTGAGAGATATCTGAATCCCTCCAGTGGAATTAAAACCCCCTGGAAAGATATCTGAATCCCTCCAGTGGAATTATAAACACCCTAGAAAAATATCTAAATCCCTCCAGTGGAATTATAAACCCCCTGGAAAGATATCTGAATCCCTCCAGTGGACCATCAGGAAGAATATCTGAATCCCTCCAGTGGAATTATAAATCCCTAGGAAAGATATCTGAATCCCTCCAGTGAATTATAAACCCCCTGGAAAGATATCTGAATCCTTCCACTGGAATGTAAATCACCATGCGTAAAGTTTTAAATTTTAAAAAGCATTTTTCAAACTCCTCCAGTAAAAATGAATTCCCTCCGGACTTCCGTGACTCTAGAAATGGGCATCATTTCGTGAACGCATGACATTTTTCAAAATTAATTAAAGAATAATTTCTAATTTGTTCCTTCTAACGAACAACCAGATATATTTAAAAAAAGGATTAAACATTCAAAAAACAAACTTAACATGCAATGAATGAAAGAATTGAAACACTGAATGTGAAATCTCTTAGTAAAGGTATGTTGGTTATTGCTGTGTAACTTATGACAATGAAATTATAAATAACAAATATGCTTTTTTGTAGACGTGGCTTCAGAGGGAATGCCCTAGCATCCTGTACACGTGGAGAATGCTTGCATGACACAGAATGCCCTCAGCATCTTGCATGCTTTGATTATAGATGCCAGGACCCCTGTAATGGAGCTTGTGGAACAAATTCAGAATGTCAGGTGATTTTAAAATTTTAAAATTTTCAAAGGTTCTCTTACTAAATATTAAACACCTTTAGCATTTTTCAAAAATTAAGTATTACTAGGATTTTTGGGCACTTCCCCCCCTTTTATGTTAACAATTTAAGCTTTTTGCTCAGATAATCTGAATTCATTTTAAAGGGAGTGGTCGCAAAAAATAAAAAATAAATCAATGGTGATTACTACTAATCTTACTTCCATCTGTTGCCTCTATAAAAACGACTCATTCTGAAGAATGTAGCATCCATACAAATTCAAGAAGTTTTTTCAATGTATATTTCATTAGATATTTCATAATATATTTTATTTGTTTTATATACAATGCACTTAAAAGGACAATTTTTCTCCGATACCGGTTTCTCCCCTGTGGAACCATGCAGAGGGACACCTATAGCGAACAAACATTGTCGTTTTGACCCCCACTCATTTTTTACGAACACTCCCTTTAATGAAAAGGAAGAGATCCCTAAAACAAACCCTAATGTAACCTAAACAGGTTTTTGGTGTTAAATGATGTCGAATTTAATGAGAATATATAATGTTATAACATTATATAGATTAATAATAATATAATATATATATATATAGGTGAAAAATCACGGACCTATTTGCGCCTGTCCTACTGGGTACCAAGGAAACCCCTTAACTAGTTGCTTCTCAGCCAGACGGGGGTAGAGAACACTGTACACATGTACTGTGTAACGTACACTGTACACTTTAGTTCGATTTCTTTGTCCGGTTCTAGCTATGATTTAGCTACGACTTCCTAGCTTAGCTACGATTTTCTATTCGTTTGTCCAAAATCATAGCAAGATCGAAGCTTAGGTTTGATCTGAAGTTGGAATCAAAAAATCATAGCTAAATATCAGCTGATGGAAATCACACCTGAGGTTGGATTTAGCTTCTACTTCACAGATAAATCACAGAAAGTGGGAACAAACTATTTGCCATTTTTAGGCATTCACCATGATTTTGGGTACAAATAAGCAGACATTAAAACTACTAAAAATGCAAAACGTGAAAATAGAGACCTGAGCCCGCGATTTAAAAGCTTCGGCTCAAGTCTTAATTCCTTAAACGCAGCTTTAAGACCCAATCTTAGACCCAACTCTGACGACAGCTTGTGTCACGTGATTGACAGCTGCGAGATCTTGGGCTCGACTTAAGGAGTCCAATGAAAATTAAACCGACCTTGGTTGGTTTTAGTGAAGAATAAGGCTCAATGTTGGGTCTTATTCTCATCAAATCCCCAATTCCAACTATGAAAATCCGCCAAATACAACATTAAACCGGTTTTATGAACTAAATTCTGTTGAAAAATAGATGCAACTTAAATTCGAAAGCCCGAGCCGTAAATAAGGCTCAACAACAGCTTAGACCCAAGTCTTATTTTCTTGAATTTTTTAAATCGCCGGCTCAGAAAAATGTAAATATTTCTACAATTTAAAAAAAACCTAAAAATAGTATTTTTTCAAATAAGATATTTTTTTACCTTTTAAAAAATAAATTGAAAAAATATTTTCTAAAAAATCTAAATTTTCTTGAAAGTATTTATTTTTATTTTTGAATACTAAAAAAAGATTTTTTAAACAAAAAATAAACCTTTTTTATCAGATATTTTTAAAGATTTTACTATTTCTTTAATTCTCTTTTTATTCTTCATCTTTTATCTCTATCTATCTATGTTTTTATTAGTCTATCCATCTATCTTATTTATCAATCATTCTCCAATTTTACGGCCAAAAATCAAAGACGACTTTTTAAAGGGGTCGAGAAATATGAATGCCCCACTAAATTTTATTTTTTGCTGTCAGTTGTACTTTAACTAGATCTGAAATCATACTAAATCCAACCTCAAAATTTTGCCCTATGAATAAGCTTTGACTATGATCTTAAATCTAACCTTGTAGCTATGATCTCAAATCATAGTCTGAGTCAAAGCAAGTTACAGGTCGACAAAGAAATCGGGCTTTATATCTATAACCAGCACTAAGATTACATATAAATAAACACAACAGCGTTACAGCAGAGAAATGCTATGATTTTTTCCTCTTTATACGTTGAATAAACCATTCTATTTAGTAATATTATTCCATTATATAGTTTATAAGATAGTCGGACGTTTCACCTTCTTGTCTTGTCGGCAAATCCTTGATTTTACAGTTCTGGTAACTTGCTGAAACTAACATATTTTATTTTTTGATAGGGTTTGCCGAGACTTACATATTTAAAAAAAAATCCACAAAAAATCAATCTTGATTGGATATGTACATTAAACGCATGTACAGTGTACAGTGGCTGATTTAAACAAAAATTTTACACATGTCCAGTCTTTCAATAATTGGAGGAACCTAGGCTGTTTTGTTTTCGGAAAATGCGGAAAAATATTCCTCAGGATGGAGATTGCTTCCAGTACTGCCAGAATTATTTTGAGAACACTTACATTGGAAAGGAAACCAAAAGCTTCAGTAAACCCCCGAGGCTTCCTTTAGAAATATGGGAATGTCTGTGATGAGATTTTTAATAATGAACCCACCACAAACAACCAAACTGAACAATGGTGTAGAAATTTTATGGCTGAACAGCCTGGAATACATTTTATAATAACCTGGCCCCCCTCAAAGAAAAATAATGGGTTATTTTCAGCTTTGAGAAGATTTCCCCTCCTCTACCTCCCCCCTTACCCCTGAACTCTGCTAACATATGCTTGTCTATGCTAACATATGTTTGTGCATGTCTAATTTTGTGTGTTTGTAAAATATACAAGCTGTTGACTTAGAACTTAAATCTTTTTAGTTTCTATTTTTACTGCTAGGTGTCTCTAAAAGTTTTCCGTAAAATTAAATAAGAAAGAAATTCAAGATTCAATTTTCTTAATAAAATAATATAATTTAGAAGTGAAGATTTGGGTTTATAATAATTTTAACTTTTTCTTAATATAATAATTTCATTAAGAAAATGCATTAATTTTTTTCTCAGGATATATATATCTTTTAACACTCTTTCTCAAACATATTGACCTATGGCTAGCTGAGCTGTGTGGTAGAATGTTTACACTGAAAAAAGGACACATTTTCGAGAAGATCCAGTTTAGGGCAATCTTTGCAGGCACTTATCAATTACATGCTTTTATCTGAGTGACATATAAACGCTGATAATTCAAATTGGCGTTTATATTCACTAGCTTGTTAAATTCAAAAGGCTAGCTTTTAATTAACCATAAACGAGACTAAATAAGTAAGCTTAAACATTGTCAAAAGTTAACAATTGGCCCACAAGCTGTCCAAGCTGTCAGCATATACAGCTGCAGCTGCTAAAAACAGACACACGAGGGCAAATAAGTTTTAAAATTGTTTATGACGGGGGGTAATGCACGGAGAGGGGGTCTAAAAACCCGACCCTTTCCCTTTTTAGGGATGGCTAAAATCCTGATTAACAGGCCCATTTAGTCGGGGTTTGCTACTTATAATTTATTAACTCTTTGTCAACTTTTTCGTATGCTTTTAGCCAGAAATCGTTAGCTTTGGGTTTTCACGGGTAATGATTTTATTAAATTATCTTACTGGAAAAAGTAAGAATGTGGAGAGAAACTATTTGAATATCATTATATCGTTTGTCTGTCTTTAGTTTAAAATAAAAATCAAAATAGTTTCATAGATATGGACAAATAATCAAAACAGACAAGAGCTAATTTCGACCTGGTAGTTTTATACTTGTATTGTTTATATGATAATTTTGTACACGGATGCATTTTTCATTATTAAATTTTAACTAATTTTATCTTAACTAAATGTACCTAATTTATTGTGGCAACTTACACGTCTCACTCAAGGGAAGAATTATGAACAGTCAATTTTTTAAAAATGTCGTAATATAAATTATACACTTTCTCCTTTTAATACTTTTCAGTGCAATTCAAATAATATATTCTTAATCTAGATGGCGTAACTTCCAACACATCAGGGTGTCCCCAAAAACATGGGAATTCAGTGACAAATTGGATATCGTCTTTATAAAGATATTTCATCAACCGCACCTACACCCTTTATATAGATCATTCATCAACCCCACCTACACCCTTTATACAGATCTTTCATCAACCCTACCTACCCCCTTTATATAGATATTTAGATATTTCATCAAACCCACCTACACCCTTTTATATAGATCTTTCATCAACCCCACCTACCACCTTTACATAGATATTTCATCAACCCCACCTACACCCTTTATATAGATATTTTATCAACCCCACCTACACCCATTATATAGATATTTCATCAACCCTACCTACCACCTTTATATAGATCTTTCATCAACCCCACCTACACCCTTTATATAGATCTTTCATCAACCC